TTTGGTATCACAGCTCATCTCTGTTCCTTACTAGTTATCAGAACATTTTATGAAAGAGGAGAATCCAGTTTCGTAGGTAGGATAAAATAAGGTAGGTCCAAGAGATGTGACCTGTCAGGCCAATTGAAGAGTCAAGAATAGAGTTATAGGGGGTTTTTGACTTCCAGTAGGTGGGAATTCAACTCTGAGATTCATCCTTTGCATGAATTGAAGTGCAGTCCAGCTTAGTGGTCTTCCTTTGAGGAGTGGGCCTCAGAGGAGCATCTTCTGAAGTTGAGCATCTCCCCTACTGGCTGTTGGATACCACTGAAGCTCTTGAGATGTGTTTGGTAGTGCATGGTCCTACAAAATGTAGACTCACAGATGGTTTGGGTTGGAAGGGACCATGAAGACCACCTAGTTCCAACCCCCCTGCCATGAGCAGGGACACCTCCCACTTGACCAGGTTTCTCCAAGACCCATCCAACCTGGCCTGGAACACTTGCAGGGATGGGGCAGCCACAGCTTCCCTGGAACCTGTTCCAGTGACTCACTCCCCTCACAGGGAAGAATTTCTTCCTAATATCTAATCTGTATCTCCTTCCTTCCAGTGTAAAGTCATTACCTCTCATCCTATCACTCCATGTAAAAAGCCCCTCCCCAGCCTTCCTGTAGCCTTTCAAGTACTGAAAAGTGCTCTAAGATCTCCCCAAAGCCTTCTCTTCTCCAGGCTGAGCAACCCTGACTCTGTCAGCCTGGCAGCCTTTCTCCAGTGCACCAGTGGCAGCAGTGTGGGCTCTGGCACATGCAGTGCCAGGCTGTCCATGATCTCCATGCTGGTCCTGCCTGCTTTCCCCCAAGGGGTTGCCCTTGTTTCATTCCCATGGTGTTTCTCCCTCCAGACGAGGAAGTCTTGGTGCCCGGATTCAACATCGCAGGTCTGTTGCCTGCCAACCTGAAGCTCTACTTCCACTACAATGGCTCTCTGACCACCCCTCCCTGCTACCAGACAGTGAAGTGGACACTCTTCAACCAGACCATGCTGCTTTCTCATGACCAGGTCTGTCAGGGTAATGAGCTCCACGCTGGGACTTGCCCAGCCTCTCCCTGCAAGCATGCACTATCTGTGCCGGTTCCCTGGGGCTCACCTGGCTCCCGAAGGTGGGATGCACCTTGTTCTGCTCACACTGTTCTCCTTCCAGATGTCAGTGCTGGCAATGAGCCTGAGAAACGATGACAACAAACCTCTGCAGAACAATGACCGGCTGGCGCAGGGCCTGCACGAGCGCCGGGTGCTGGCGAGCTTCCAGACCTCCCTCTTGTTGGAGAAGGAGATGCCTCCTGGTAAGGAAGCACGAGCCTGCTCAGCCTGCGCCCAGCTGCAGGATGCAGGGATGGGGTGAGGAGCAGGAGTCAAGGCTTTGTGTCTCTTGCCGAAATGCAACATGTGCGTGGGCTAGCCCTGGCCAGCAGGTGACTTAATGGCAAGACTTAATGATCTTGAGGTCCTGCTCTCCCCTGTTTTTGCGCTTCTCTCACCCTGCCTGGGGAGGATCAGTTTCTAGGAACTGTTTTATTCTTGGTCTTGTGGAATTAACAGGAGCAGGACTAGGTCAAGACCAAACAGCCAGAGCCTAGCATCCCAGCTAGCTTCTTCATCCCAAAAAGCAAAACTGAGAGGGAGCTGCAGAGGTGCAGGCTTGCAGCAAGCACCCCACTGCCAAACCCTGCGGGAAGGGCAGTGCCGGGAACCCCTCCTGAAGGCTGTGCTCTGCCAGTGGGGCCATGCAGCCATTCTGGCTGGGTACATGATCTCCAGCCTAAGATAAACCTTTCTGCCCACCCTTAGCTCGTCCTCGAAGGCCTTTCTTGCATTGGTTGTTTCCAGCAATGAGTAGAAATTCCTGTTAATCCTCAGGTGTGACTATCACTCTACATCGCTGAGTTCTTGCCTGTTGCTGCTCTCGGAGGTTACTGGGGGTTTTCTGTCCTACATCTTGTTCTTTTTCTGTTTTGGTGGCATTTCCTACACATTAGGTCAAGGAAACTAGTAGAAACAGCACAGAGCCTTGGTCCCAGGCCCTTGGGCAATGCCTTGATAACCACACACGAAGTGCAAGGCACTTCTCTTCACCGTCCCACCTGCAGCCAGCTCACTAGTGGCTGCAGGCTTTTTATCACCATGGTCTTCAGCCTGGCTAGAAGTTTCCCATGTGGCACCACATCAAATGCTTCATTGAAGTTGGGAGAGATAAAATCTGGCGTATTTTCTTTGTCTATAATATCACTTATCAAAGAAGGGTATCGGGTTAGGCTGGCATGCTCTATCTTTGGTAAACCTGTGAGATACTTTATCGTATTTTCCATTTACCTCCAAGCCTTTCTCTGACCACTTTCTTGCAGAAGCTGTTCCAAAGCCTTCCAAGGCTGGGGTGAGGGGGGAGTTGCTCAGCTCACTTTTTTTTTTTATCCTTTCCTTATTTGCTATTTCTATCCGACAACTCCCACTCCAACAAAGCCACAAAGCCCTTGTTCCTGGACTGCTAGGACACTGTCCTAGTACTCCCAGATCAGGTTACTGGTCCCCTGCCTTACATGTGTGGGGTTCTTGGAGTTAACTCCCCCATTTCAGTGCTGATAATTCCTTGCATTAGCCCCAGGGCTGCTGAGCACTGAGCTGAGTGCTATAGGGTCACTTCTGGCTTTACTTGCAGCCACGCCTCCTGTACCCACGCTTGTTGATCTTTCCCCAGTCACCCCCAGTTTAGGAGAGCTGTTCCTGCCGCTGGCCCAAAGGCGGTGGCTTTCCAGCAGTAGCTGCCTGGCTGGATACAGCCTGCAGATAGTGCCAGTCTGTGTGCGATACCTGAGCTGGGCACAGACGATAATGCAGCTGTTCAAAAGCCATCCTGTCACACCGGGTAAATATTTGCCCAGCACAGCTCCCGCCCAGCATGTAGGGCCACTAAGCCATCCCCTGCTGGGTGCCCTTCCTGCTCCAGGGGAGCTGTCCCCATGGTCACTGCCTGATGGGCTCACCCCATGCCACTCTCCAGGGTCTCCTGCAAGGTTTGGTGCAGTCATGGGGTGCTGCAGTGCTGGGCATTCTGCTTGCCTGCTTCCCAGGTGGTGGCAGCAGCAAAGGGGAGGTCCTGTTTGGGCTCTGCAAGGCTTTTTTGTGGGCTGCAGTTCAGGAATCCTTTTATTGCCCCTTCCCCCAGTGCTTCTGGCAGGGCGTCAGGGCTAGGCTTCCTGCTGCAAGATGATGTGAGCTGCTGAGTATCCAGCAGGCAGTTCTCTTGTGCCTGCTCATGGGTGATGGGGAGTCTTGCAGGCAGCTCAGCCTGAAGTCCTGCAGGCTCAACACTTTCCTCCCCAGACACCTCGGGCAACCTCTTGACTGTGCTGTCTCTCTTCCAGGTGCTGATGGCTCAGCAGCAACAGGTAGGTGAGGGGCTGCCCTGAAGGAGGGGAAGGTGGCTGGGGGCATGAATCTGCCTGGGAAGGAGGGGTGCTGGCAGCCATGTGCTGAGCTGCGGGGCAGGCAGCCACAGTGGGTTTACAGGGCTGCCCTAATATCTATGCAGCTGGTTCTCATCCTCTCATCTATTTTGCAGGACATCCCAGCTCTTCATTTCATGCAGGTAAGCATGCTGAGACAAGGCTGCCACCTTCCTGTCTTCTCTGCCCCAGCCTTTCCAATATCCCTTGGCTAAGTAGCCACAGGGACCCATCCCCAGTGTAACATGCCAATGCTTGGCTTGCAGGAGATGTGCTGGCTGTGCTCTTTGGGGTGCTCTTTGCCATCACAGCACTGGCCTTCCTGCTGTACATCTACAAGCACCGCAGCCGGAATGCACGGTGAGCGATGGGCAGCTGCAGGAGGAGGGGGTAGCACGGGTTCAGGGCACGAGGAGGGGGGTTATGGGTGGTCTCTGGGGCAGCAAGATGGGTTAGTAGGGCCTCCCTACATGCTCTAATATTCTTCTGCTTCCTCACCCACCAGGCTGGACTCACCGACCAAATCCAAGGTCATCTACACGGCAGCCACCACCGAGAACACTGCATGAGCCCCGTGTCCCTGCAGGGGTCCCAGCCCCTCTGGTTCTGCCTGCCACCCCACCTCTCCTCACTCCCACCCTGGGCCTAGGGAGGGCCAGCACTCCAGCATCCTTCAGCTGCACGGGCTGCTCACACAGACTATTGGGGATATTTTTGTTATAAAAAAAAGACAAAAACGTATTAAAAAAAATATTAAAAAATGTAAAATCCTCCCATGGTGCCAGCTCTCTCTGCTGTCCTTGTGTGAAGATGTGGGGCAGGAAAAAGGGCACTGGTGGAGCTGGACCCACAGCAGACAGGGATGTGCAGGGACTCCTTCCTGGCCAGCAGAGACATCAGGCTCCGTGGCCCGGGCAGAGCTCCAGAGCAAGCAGCGCAGGTCTCCTTGCACAGCCCAGCCCTGCCCTCCATCGCTCTGGGACTTCTTCCTCCTCTTATTTGTTCTAAGTGTTGGGAAAACATAGCAGCAGCTTGGTAGGGCTGGAGAGAGGCAGCGTTGAAGGTGGCAGAACCACCGATTCCTTGCTGGACAGCCACCACCCAGCTCCACTCTGTCTCTACCATAGCTGGGTCAATCCCAGATCCACTGCTGCCTCCCACCTTTGCTGGTGGCTCCAGTGCAGCTGGAGTCAAATCCCAGGGCCCCAAAAGGGGCCAGGTCTGGGAGAGGAGAGTAACCTGCAGGTCTCTAGCTCTCAGCAGGCCCCACCCCAAAGCAGTCACACTAGAGTCCACCCCTGTTTGCATGCCCACAGCAGGAGCAGAAGCTGAAAACCTCCAGGCAACTGGGATCTTCAACTGCCAGGCTATCCCCCCCCCCAGTCACACCAGTACAAACCACTGCCACCACTGCTACAGGGTGCCTGCACCCTCCCCATGAGAACAGCACTACTTGTCTCTGGTACTTCTTTTTATTGGTATAAAAGCCCACTGTGGGTAAAACTGCCTTCTCAGCCCTGAGCCCAATGGCAGTTTCTCCCTCCCCACCCTGTAGCACAGCATTAGGGCTGGTGCCCGCCTAAAAATCCCCCTCCCAAGTACAGGAGAGGGCAATGATCCCCTAGAATGGCTCTTTGAGCCCCAGCCCTAAGTTGTGCTGGCACGAGCTGCAGGGTTGCATATCCTCCTGAGCACTCCACCACCCTCCATGTTCCCATCCTTCCTCCCACCCCGGGTGCTGTCAGTCCCCTCGGCTCCCCGACCCCCGTCCTCTGCACCAGGATGTCGGCTTACTGCAGCTATTGCAGCCCAGTGCCGGGGCCGTGGCTCCCAGGGCAGAGAGGCGGGGCGGAGAGGCGGAGGAAGGAGGAACCTACAGACCCTCTCCTCGGCACAGGGGACAATACATCTGCGGCAGGAGGGTGAAGCAATGGGCTTCTTTGGGCTCAGGCCTCTGGCAGTCCAAGGTAGCATCCTTCCCAGGCAGGCTAACTGGGCCTCCACTTGTGGCAGAGCCAGCAAAGTTGGGTTCCCCAAAACTAATCTGTTCTCCAGGGGCTCCCAAAGGAGTGTCAGAGCGGGCAAGCCCCAACCACACCATTTGGCTGGTTGCCACAGCCAGAGCCCAGCGCCTGTCCCACCGGGACTGGCCAGGATCCCCCAGTCCAGAAGAAAAGATATTGCAGAGAAGGTGACAGCTGCTCTTGCTGTCAGGATGGAAGGGAGGGCAGGGGTGGCTGGGGACAGGAACATCCTGCAGGGCCTCAGGATCCTGGCTGGGGGCTGGCTCCGCTCTGTAGACCTGCAGGAACCAAGAGGAGAGGGGGTCACTTTCACCAGACTCCTTTACCCCATCCACTTATCCCAGAGAGGCAACAACCTGACCATCATCTCAAAATCCAGCTTATCCTCCAGTCAGGCAGTTGAGGGAATGATGCCCTTGTTTCAGCCCCAGGGACACCCTCTCCCCATCCCAGCACTGGTCCCGGTACCCAGAAGAACCCATAGGGCTCCTCATCCCCTTTATGGAGCAGGACTTACAGAGCAGGAAGCGCCGCAGGTTTTGGGCGGATCCCCCTGAGAGCAGGTAAGCCCAGGAAGCAGCAGCGGCCATCAGCAGGTAGGAGGGCACCAGGCTGCCCACGTACAGGGGGTTGCAAAATGTCTGGGGAGAGAGGCAGAAGAGCAGAGGGGTGAGCAGGTAGGAGAGGAGGGGGACAGGGTGGGTGACAGCATCTCTGCCTTGATGAGCAGAGCTGGACAGGGGACACCACCTCCAAGATTCAGTTTGTGACGGGCCAGCTCCAAGTCCCCCAAACCCAACTGCTTCACTAGTGCCAAAAGCTGTTCCTGCCCCAAGACAGGGAGCAGAACACACCAAAGCTGTCACCTCTGAGGTCCTGGCACACAGCTCTGCTCACAGCTACTCACCGAACCCGACACTGCGAGGTGCATGACAACAACTGCCGTGATCTCCCACCAGCGCCGGTGCTCACAGCCATGGAAGAAGAGGATCCCCCAGAACGTGTGCAGGAAAATCAGCACCATGGTCATAAAAGCTGAAGGGAGCAGCAGAGAGGTGTCACTGAGGAATCACCTGCCCTGATCTGGCCTGCAAGCTCAGGGAGGGATGGAGAGGAAATGGGACAAAGGATCAGAAGCATTACTGGGCTGTACTGGGAGGTGCTGGGGCAAACGCCAAGTGAGGGAGGGATCGGAGGAGAAGAGCAGAGAGAGTCACAAGGAATAGAAAGAAGGGTTTGGCTCAGAGATGTGACAGGGGACTGTAAGGGGCTCAGGTGGGTAGAGAGTGCTGCATGGAGGGGACGCTCCAGACCCCGCCCCTGATCTGCTGCCTCTCTGGTGGGGCAGGGACATAAGCAAAGGGTGCTGACCCACCTGAGGTCAGGAAGTAGAGTTGTGAGTCCCCATGGATGCCCACGGTGCCAGGTCCTAATGCGTCTGCCAGGAGATTGATCATGGAGAAGGCGCCACTCATGAGCCCAAAGCCCACACCAGCCACTGCCAGGACAAGGACACCATCAGGCCATGAGCCTCCCAGGGCCACCCCAGGCATGGCCCAGCCAGCTCTGGCATGGGAAACCTCCCTTTCCCCTCCCCACAGCACTATGCTTAGCCCTGCCCGGGCTCATCCCTGGCCCCACAGTGAGGGTGCCCCACTGCACTAGCACTCACCATATGCCATTTGCTGGATGGAAAAGGGAGAGCAGCCGTCCTCACT